AGTTTTGAAACCTTCTTAAAAGATACATTTTTCAAAAAACACAATCCATGAGGTTGAAGGGGCGTCACCCAATGGCGGTCCTAGCTTGAATGGCACCCTGCAATCAACACCCACTTTTTTTCCTGCGATTAGTGGTCAGTTTCTCAGAAATGTTCCTAAACAACCTCCAGCATTTTCGACGCTTAAGTACAGCTTGTTTCATATTTGTTATATTCTGTATGGCCATGCTTATTCTAACACGTGTTTGAGAATTAAAATTGTTCAAGTTTTACTTAAAACTCACTCGAAAGGTTTTTTTTTTTTTTTTTTTAATGTTTTTTCAGTTCTTGCATGCCAAAGGAGTTCCCAAGTCCGTGATGAATCAGATTGCGTTCCACCATACAGTTTCCATTGTTTTGTGTATTTTTCATGTGGCTCTTATCTGGTTCATTTTTTCATTCCGAAGCGTTAAGCCCTAACAGTTGCGTATGTGAAATTGAATCCAGCCTCGTGCTGGATTGCTCTTTTGCTTCCAAGACAAAAGGTCGGCCAGTGCAACATCTGCACAACAGGAGATCTTATGTTCGCGTGTCTTCTTTTGTCCCAAAATAACTTTTGATTAAGGGGTACGAGCGCCCTCTGGCAGTGCGACCGCAGTCAAAAAGATGGAACAATACCCCTGCGATTTAGGGAATGTCATTTTTGTCTGAATCGATTATTTCCTCACTCATTTTCCAAGTGTTAACATTCCTGTTTTTAATCCAATAACATCCACTTGAGTCACGCCTATCCACAGGAAAAGATAGAAGATGTTCATAGGAAAGTAGAACAGATGATCACATTACATGCTATGCTGAATCAAAAATACACAAAAAAAAAAAACTTACCGACTGGCTAACACGACCTGTTTCCTATTAACACATTGACCCACTTTTAATGCTCCTTCGCACAATAACAACAACGTGCAGGATATGCTGTTCACAAGTGAGGAGAACAAAGGCCCGGTGATGCGAATCGCTGCGATGCACAATACAAAATACAGGTGATGATATTGTCCCTTATGGACACTGAGAGGAAGTGAAGCTCAATACAGTACAAGGAATCAGGAAAGTCTAAAATAAATACTATAGTGTGTAAGAGACATTTTTTGCATTTGTTCTCACAATTCCAAACTGTTCCCAGGAATCTCTGCCTGCAACACGCTTTTATAAAAAAATATCCCAGCGATCGAGACAGATGGCAGTTTGCACTCGTGTTTCGCAGCCTTTATTGAGCCAATGCACAGGATATTTTCTATGACGAAAACACACAGCACCCCATCAAACAAAAATGTTATCAAAAAGTGCTGAACCCGTGCCTACTCACGGTTCGCTATGAACAAATTCCCCTTATTTGCAATTGTCCTCAAAACTCAAGTCACAATTTCTGCATTCATACAATTCCCAAGATACCACAAGATGTCTTCAAAGGTCTTGTAGTAAAGTAACCATTGGTGTAAAATTAGTACAGGCAAATGCGGTTCAGGGGACTGTCCCCCGCCTACTGCCCGCAGACAACTGGGATAGGCTCCAGAAAATGGATGGATGGAATTATTTGTTTCACTCTTCTGCCAATTTCTTCCCTGTTTTTTGTGGAAACTGTACAGTGATTGTTTATCAGTGAAAATTCTTCCAAAAACGCTGATAAAAACTTTCAATGTGTTTTCACAAAAAATGATGGGGGTTTGAGAGGAAAGATTCTCTAAACCTGCCCCAAATCCCCCAAAATATCGAGAAAATATTGATTCTTATTTTCATTTGTGAGTTTTCAAATCTGCAGATGTCAAACTGTTTTTTTTAATGTGAAAATGTAAGAAATTAAAATTAAAAAACAAATTCATTCTCAAAAATTCAAATTCAAACTCAGCTGGCAAAGATACTGTATACCTTTGCTTCAATAACTCTTCATAATGCTAGCCATATTGATGCAATGTCACCCCTCCGAAAATAAAATCATAAACATTCTGACAAAAGCATAATTTCTCTGGCTTGTGTCAAAGGCAGTTCGTACAACAACAATATTGGTGGAATGAGAGCAAGGTGCTGGCTGGCGTCAGCTCATCCCATCAATCACAGAGGATAGCCGGCAGGACTGTGGCAGCGTGATGGATGACAGCGATGGACTGAGACAGAAGAAGTGCATGCTGCTACCTATCACTGCCCACGCCGCTTCATAATCAGCATAAGGGGAACACTGCATTTAGTAAAATGTGGGCGGCGGCTTGTGTACTATCCATCCATCCATTTTGTAATCCGCTTATCCTCACGAGGGTCGCGGGCATGCTGGAGCCTATCCCAGCTGTCTTCGGGCAGAACTGGTTGCCAACCAATCGCACGGCACAGATAGACAAACAACCATTCACAGTCACAATCACACCGAGGGACAATTTAGAGTGTTCCATGAACCTGCCATGCATGTTTTTTGGTATGTGGGAGGAAACTGGATTACCTGGAGAAAATCCACCCAGGCACGGGGAGAACATGCAAACTCCACACAAGAAGGCCGGAGCCATAATCGAACCCTGCACCGCTGTACTGTGAGGCGGACGCACTAACCAGTCGCCCACAGTGCCGTCCCAGTTTGTGTACGATTGGGACGAAATTAGTTGAGCCAACTAGTGGAGATGTTACTGAGTTGCAAGCAAGCGAATTTCACACAGATTATGCAATGTTTTATGAGGAAAATATAGTATAATGTACACAGGACTGTAATAATAAGTATGCTCATTACACTGCAGCATTTCCATCGAAACATTGTCCCCTGGTTGCGGTAGAATAGATTCAACACCAATCTAGATTTAAAATCCTAATTTGAAGTCATATCCCTGGTTTGAAAATTATAGCAACCCAAACTGTGGCCTGAAATTCTGACACTGGTTTGAAAAGCTATTTTGAAACCTTAAGCCTGACGTGAAAACTAACTCTTGATGAAAGTCCTAACTCAGACATGACTAATTTGAAACTGAGACCCAGACTCGAATCCCGAATTTGAACTTTAAGACTAAAGTGAAACTGTAATTTAAAACTAACCCTTGTTAAAAATGACAATCCTGCTTTGAAACCCTAACACTGGCTTTAAATTTTACTTTGGAACCCCTATCAAATCAAAATTGATTTGCAACCCTAGCCCTAGTTTAAAACCCTACTTTGAAGACCGAGCCCAAATTTAAAACCCTAATTTGAATTTGGATATGATTGTGACGTACAAATCTGACAACCCAACATGAATAAGTTATTAATTTATTTTTGAAAAAAAAAAGTGTTGTTTGTGCAGTTTGCTGCTGGCTTGATTTATGCAAATCTACTGTATTTTATCCAGGGTTTAAATCCGTTCAAGCTTTTGAAGACCGCTTTAATAGCTCACAGTAAAACACGGTAGCTCAACACTGCCTAACTGAGCCTTTTTCTCCCACAATGCACAATTTTTGTTATTGAGTTGTTAAAAACGTTCTTTCCTCGTTAAACGTTCGCATGAATATAATATAGTTTACTATTGCGCTACTCATGAATATAATATAGTTTACTATTGCGCTACTTAAAAAGTCGATTTATTGTTCGATAGTACAGTAGCAAGAAAGGCCCAGTGATGCTTTTTATTTGCATTGTGCTGGTAAAGACTTCCCCCTGTTGGCCAGACACTGTCAATGCATCTGGCCTTTGAAAGTACAGTACAACATTGTAGGTCTGTCATTCTTGTACGTTTAAGTGTTCTCAATTATAATACAACTAAAGTGGCAAATATTTCTAAACGTGTGCAAATATCACACAGAAACACAGACAGACAGAGCCATTATAGTGCATTAAAAAAACAAACACCACGTTACACAAGGAACATCATAAACAATCCTGTTTCCTTCTTTAATTATTTAGTTGAGGTGTATTATGTTTTAAGCGATATTCTTTGTTTCTTCTTCTCACCTATGCAGGACTGTGATTATTGTGACACAAGAAAGTACAAACCAAACTCCAATAAAGGACATTGTGTCAAACATAAATAAAAACGAAATACAATGATTTGCAAAGCATGTTCAATCTATACTTAATTGGCTGCAATGCAAAAACAAGATATCTGATGTTCAAATGGATAAACGTTATTGTTATCAGCAAGTAATTTTCACCTTCATTTTTTATGGCTGCAAAACGTTCCAAAAAAAAAAAAAAAGCTGGCACGGGTGGCAAAAAAAGACCTGTTTGAAACACCTCTGGCAACAGGCTTAATGGGAACAGGGAGGTGACATGACTTAGTATGAACAGAGCTTCCCTGAACTGCTCAGTCATTCCCAAACAAAGATGGGGGGGAGGTTCAGCTCTTTGAGAACAAGTGCCTGAAAAAATTACAAATATTCTCTTTTTAGTCTATTAAATATAGAACCCAGCCGCTGGGGGGCAGTGCCCTCCCCTGGGGGTGCACTGTTCCCCAGTGCCGGTCCCAAGCCCGGAGAAATGGGGAGGGTTGCGTCAGGAATGGCATCCGGTGTAAAACTTTTGCCAAGACGACCATGCGAGTTGGTAGGACGGTTTACAGGGGCGGATGGAAATTACTGACTCGCTGTGGCGACCCCTGAATAGGGACGTGCCGAAAGGAGAAGAAGAAGAAGTCTATTCAATATAGGTTGAACATGATTCGGGAATATTTGTAGTCAGTTTTGATTTTTGTAACGTAACGTCCAAACTTAATTGGAATTGGGTTTGTAAATATTTGATTTCCGAATGTTTGATTTCCATCTCATTTGTGATTAAATTACACAAATCGACAATCTTTCCATGCAAATGAGTTTGGCACAATGGCTCTGAGACATAGTTATGCATTTTTTAAAACATATTTGTGACCCTGGGTTCGTATTATGACTCTTGTTTCGTATTTTTGACTCTTGTTCCATATTTGTGAATCTGGTAGTTCAGCATTTACAAATTGCTTTGCTCCAATAATAGCCTCAGAAACCTCTGGCCACGTTGCGCATGCGCGCCCTGGTGCCGGAATGTTCTCGTTTCTTTCTGGTGCGCAGACGCAGTTGAGGCGCAAGCAGAAGCAGGCGGAGAGCGACTGGCGCAACGCAAAAGGATACTTTGGCCCTTAGGCTGAGCTTTTTGTGGATTTGGGTCGACGGAAACATCGATTGTTAAAATGACCAGTGGGTATCGACATATATAAATTTACCGTAAGGCATTACATACTTCACAGTAACTGCATGCTGTGTTGTTTCTGTCACTCGCGCAACCGAATCTTGACGCCGTCTATTTGCTGAAACAGACCTCACGTCTTCTCGCGGGGCTTGGACGTTTCCAAATTTGCCCTTAATAAGACCTAATAACTTAATTTTTTTCAGTCTTGGAGGGATTTAACACGATTAAAAACTCCAGTAAGGGTTGTAATTTCGTTTGTCTGTTTGACTAGTGTCTGGTGTAGCGAGTTTTTGGCCTACTGAAATTGACTGATGCGAATGGTCTTCAACGCCGTTTTATGGTGTCTGGTGTCGAATCGATCGTTTAGAACATTTCAAAAATAATTTTCGGAAAGTAAAGTACATTAGCTGCATATCGGGTGTGTCCAATTTGTTAATTGTACCGTTGCTCAACCTGTTTCTGTGTTGTTGTGGTTTGAGCTGTGACGCTTCTCCATAGCGCCCATCTGCCACGTCTTCTGCGTTTTTACCGTGCACCATTCCTCGGTTTTACGACATAACACAAATGGAGATTACGAACGGCGAACGCCACAGGAAGACACGCTGACTTAGAAGCCGTACTTGCTGCCCAGATCCCCCGTTTGAGTGTTATACAGTATATGTATGACCTACAAATATTGAACAAATATTTACTGTAATTGTGACTTTACGTTGTGAAGCTAAGATCAACTTTAGAGTGTTTCGACACTACGGCGTAGTCTGTCTTAAGCAGGGTACATTTAGACAGAATTTTCTCAACCGAATATTCAAATGTGACAGACCCTACAAATGATAAAGGAAAAAGGCATCATGTGTTTGTTTTTGTAGTGCGTTATTTTCTCGAGATAACCCAACACGCCGAAAACATCACCATTGGTATTGAATTACCTACAGCAGCGGTGCCCAAATCCGGTTTTCAAGAGCCCCTATCTGCCTCTTTTAGATGTCTCCCTCCAACACGATACAACACGATTGTAGAAGTCTGATAACTATCCTCCTATTGAAATATTTTATCAATCGCTTTTATCGTATCAAATATATTGCTTAAAAGAAACAATATTGCCTTGTGTTGAATCGTTAGGCCCTGTGTCGATATGCATCGGTCAAAAAAACGTATTACTACAACCCTAGTGAACAGCTTTAATATTTGTAAGTGTTGTTTTCTGGGCAGATCGTGAGGGACAATTCCCTTTAGCACACACCACTCCACAGAAAAGTCACTCAGAAGAATATTTCCGAGACATCTGACAATCAGGTCTTTGCTTACTTAAATTGCGATGGAGAGAAAAATGCAAAAATTTGTCCTGATTGTCAATACGTGTTTATGTTGTTGTGTACAAGTTTTAAAATTATGTTACAGAATTTTGAGGTCATAGTTTGGAGTACATTGTAGTTTAAGATAATATTGGAAAAATGGTTCACTGTATATGACATTTCCAACGAACATTGCGGGGTTCTTTTTTAGGGGGAAATCAACGTGAGCTTGCACGCCAAAAGGCTGCCAAGAAGGCTAACGAGAGCGGCAAAGGGAAGAGAAGTGATGACGGGCTCTCAGCTGCCGCTCGCAAGCAGAGGTACAAGACAATATGAATCAAGAAACACCTTCCTCGGTAAAATTTTAGATTAGTTTCATCCTAATGACACCTCTTGTCTTTTCCTCTCAAGGGATGCTGAAATAATGCAGCAAAAGCAGAAAAAAGCAAATGGTGGAGAGAAAGACAATCCTAAATCCAAGTGAACAACTGACTTCATCCCGCCGTTGGCTTCCTTCCTGATAAATATAAAAGCCAGTAATGTCATCTTTTAAAAATATCAGAGACTCAACATATAATTGAGCCTACATTCTCTCCTTATGGCAATGGATTTTTTTTTGGGGGGGGGTGAAATTGTTCACATTATCCCCACACTGATGCCACGTGCATGCAGAGGAGCGTCAGTGCTTTTAGCAGCAGGAGAAAGATGAACAGTTGTCCACACAAAGCGTTGTTGTAGCTGTTGTGTGTTTTCTTCTTGTACAAAACATGTCTCCTGATGGTTGCAAATAAAGAGTATCTTTGTAGTTCACGCTCGCTTGGCTCATTATGATCTGTTCTATGAGAGGTGAATTCTTTAGAACCGTGTTGGGGGGGGCTTTTTTTTTTTTTTACATGACTGAAATCTGGCGGCACACGACGAGGTGGAAGCAAAGACATGAGAAGGGTACCACTGGTCGCAGAAAGGAAAGTTACAACTATCAAATTGGAACCTGGCATAGGAAAGTCCCTGGCCACACAGTACAAAGTGAAAATTAAAAAGATTCGACCAAGCTGATGCTCACAAATTGTACATAACTGGGCTTCAAAAAGTGGGTAATGGCTACCATGAAAATAAAAACCACATTTTTACTACATGAAAATTGTGCATTTCTTAACGTTTACAACCAAATGTTTTTTTTTCAACTTTTATTTTCAGCATCTACTTTAGACCACTGAAACAGATCTGACCAAAGTTTGCATAGAAAACGAGGTGCACATTTGATGTGATATTTTCTACCTATACTGCGTCTCAAAAGCCAAGAAAACTTGAGGTCAACGTCATTTGTGACGTCAGGAATTTGTGACTTCTCAAGTCAAGTCAACTTGATTGTCAAATGTGCGACATGTGCAACATACAGCACGGATGAAATTACATTCCTCAGGAGAGAGGAGCCACTGCGGGTGCCCGCGCTGCCATCAAAAGAACAGTTAACATAAAATGACAAAATAATACAACACAACACATAAGACACAGACAGTCATCCAATCTTAACCACTTTTTCTGCATACACTTTGTTGTTTGAAGCAGTTATAGATGAAAGAGGAGTGTGAGCATCTCACACAAAGGCCAACTCCGATCCTCGAGAGTACCCAGGAAGTTTTATGTCTCCTTGCTCCACTACACATGATTAAAATGATCAGCATCGTTATCCAGCTTCTTCAGAACTTGCTGCCAGCTGATCATTTGAATCAGGTGTATTGGAGCAGACGGACATATAAAGCATCCACCCCTGCTTTTTACAGTTCGAAGCATGGCCAGGGAGAGCAGAATCAGATAACATTACACACTTGCTGCGCAAGCAATACTCACGTACTTTCACAGCATCGGGAACTGGTACACATCAAGAGATTTTGGTCTCTTTATAAATACACTACATAAACCTCGTGGAACGAAAAAAGACGTCATGGGCAGGACAGCTATTGTTTGTAGAAATATATATATTTGGACATAAAAGAGAGAAATACATACAGATGACAGAAAAACTTGTCGGCGTACATGGCAATGGCGAGTGATGAAAAAAGCGAAAGGGGCGTGGCCTGACCGGGGGCGTGGCCTGGCCGGGGGCGTGGCCTGATCGGGGCGTGGTTACTTACAAAAGTGGCACTAAACATGCTGAAGATGAAGTGTATTCAATTAACACACGATTTGAAACTTTAACAGAAAAAAAATCCCAAGATTGTTCACTATTCTTTCAAGTGAAAATTTGTGCAATTTTGCTTATGCATTCCTAGTGAGCACCAATATGTAACTCCAAATTTGCTGCTCAAAATCAAAACTAAAAAAGTAAACACAT